ATTAGATTCCTACCTGGTACAACACACAAAAATTAACTCAAAGTCAATCACAACCATAAATGTAAACCTTAACTAAAACTCTTGGAAGAAAACAAGAAGTTCTGATCTTGCTCAGATTTAACATCAAGAGCATGGTAATAATCAAGAGACAGACAGAACCACAGGTAAAACTTCTGATGTTCAAATACACAGTAAGAAGATGGAAAGATAAGCCATAGACTATAGATTCTATTTTCTTTTTATTTGTCCAGGCGGTTTTATTTTATTTTTGTTTATTTTAAGACAGGATCTTATGTTTCTTAGACTGACCTCTAACTGGCTCTCCATCTGCCCTGCCTCCATCCACTAAGTACAGAGATTACAGGTCTGTACCACCAATCCTGTGAAAATATATTTTCTTATTTTCTCTTTTTATTAGCATATATTAACTGCATAAAATAGTAGGTTTCATTATGACATTTTAAATCATATCCCATTAGAATTTTGTCTCCCCTATACAGAAAGAATATGTTTTCAAATCCCCTATATATCTCTAATAGGGCTGGAGAGATGGCTCAGCCATTAAAGGCTAGGCTCACAACCAAAAATATCTAATAAACAACTTGTCTCCAGGTAGAAAAAGTCTTAAAATGCAGACACAGGAAAAAAAATCACTAAAAAAAATGGGCAAAAGATACAAACAAATGCTTCAGCAATGAAGACACAAAGATAAAAATAAGTCTATGAAAATATGCTAAGCATCATTTACAGGAAGAAGCTCTCTTTGGAAGCTGCAGAGTTGGTGAGGTAAGGTTGGTTAGTAGCTTTCCCTATTTCCCTGATCTCTCTAAGGCTTTCACCCCTATATTTGGCTCCATGTTTTTATTTATCAAGACTGTTTAGAAATTCGTCTACAATGAAAAAACAAAATGACAAGACAAAACTAAAAAAGGTACCAAGCCACATGGCTAAACATAGATAAAAATTATGTGTTAATTTAAATATAAAACCTAGTCAGTAATAAGCCTGAGCTAATGGCCAAGCAGTTATAATTAATATAAGCTTCTAAAAGATTATTTTATAAGCAGGCCACAGGACTGCAGGGGCCTGACAGGACCAGAGAAACCTTCCTATTATAATCATTAGTTACTACCAAAGTACAAATTAAAACCAGAAAATACATACATATGTAGTGGGTAGGTGTTCCAGCTTTGACCTGGAAGTACTACCCCTAGTGAGGCCTCTGTTAACTGCCACGCCTACCTATGACCTGCCCCTGGGGCGGGGCCAAGATGGGAGCACTTAAGATTCGAGATCCAGTTGTGCTGGGCTCTTGGTTCCTCATGATCCTGGATGATGGATGGTAGACTGAGCAGAGTTCTTCAGAGAACCCTGCTGGACTACACCTCACCTCTCCCGGATCCTGTAACCAACCCCTTTACTGGCTGTAAGTTACCCCAAAATAAACCTCCTTTTTAACTACATGGAGTTTCCTTGTTAATCCCCACAATAATACATATATCAGAATAGTCAATATTAAAACTATTGATAGATGTTACAACATATGGGCAAGGATGTGTAACAATTGGCCAATTGGCTTTTTTTTTTACATCTGTTGTTTAATTTTAGAATTTCAAACATGAGTACTGTATTTACATCATTTCCACCAACCATTCTTCCCCTCCAGCACCTCCTATGTCCTCCCTACTCACTCTCAATTTCATGACCTCATCTTAATTATTGTCACACAACTGAAATTTTTATTCACTATTGTGTGAATATAAAACAGCAATGCTAAAGAACTGACAGTTTAAAAAGTTAAACTATACATACAACATGACACACAGTAACTCTATTCCTAAGTATCTACCTTAAAAAGTAAAAGTGTGTTTCCACACAAAGACTTATATATAAACGTTCAGCAATGGTTACTTGCAATAGCCCACAAGTGTGAACAATCCAAATGTCTACCAATAGATGAATGTAGAAGTAAACTAGTATATCTATATCATGCACTACTTAGCAATTAGAAAATGAATATCGATGGGTGCAACAACCTAGATGAAATTCCAAACAGTTAAGCCAACTGAAAGAAGTCCAAGAATAGAATCTGGGGGGCTGGAGAGAAGGCTCAGAGGTTAAGAGCATTGCTTGTTATTCCAAAGGTCCTAAGTTCAATTCCCAGCAACCACATGGTGGCTCACAACCATCTGAAAAGAGATCTGGTGCCCTCTTCTGGCCTGCAGGGATATGTGCAGACAGAACACTGTATACATAATAAATAAAGAATCTTTAAAAAAAGAAAAAGAACAGAATCTGTTTACATAAAGTTATAGAAATGCAAACTCATCTATAGCGACAGAAAGTAAGTAAATAGTTGCCTAAGGATGGAGTGAAAACAATGAATGAGGGCTAGATTACAAAACAATGTGAGAAAAATTTAGGGATTGTCAATGTTTGTTACTATAAGTATAGTGGTGGTGGTGGTGGTGGTGTCAGGCATGTGGGCACACACACATATATGTTAACATATACCAAAGTATACATTCCAAGTATGTATAGCTTATAGTGTCATTGTGTGTGTGTGTGTATGTGAACCTCTAAAATAACCTTGTCTGTTTAAAAAGTTTAGTCTTATTCACACATGAAAGTTTTAGACAGATGTTAGAAAAAAGGAAGAAGACATACTCCAATGAAGATCACACTTAAGATTGTATTAATGAGAACATTAAAAACACTGAAAGAAGGTTTGGTTTGCTCCACTGTAAGGAGCTTGATAAAAGATGCTTCAGTGTCCTACTTTTCTATTCAGTGAGCAAGAACTTCTTGGCCTCATCTACATTTTCAGTGGAAGAGAAGCCAAAAAGTTCTGCACTGTTCTTTTCCTTATTTGTTCAACAAATCATCAACAGCAAAGTCAGCAGCAAAGTGAACAACCCTGAAAGGAACAGTTACTTAGTGTTCCAAGGCAATGGACAGCCCTTAGCAGTAAGAAGATGATGTGGTATTAAGTTTCAGAAATGATCACTTTTGCTAAACCAGTCTCCCTTTCCAGAGTCAGAAGTACAAGAAACTAGAGTCAAGAGACTTGCACGTGCTTTTAACAGCTTCTCCTAACCATGGGGCATACAACTGAAGAGAGACTTTAAAATGTAACGACCATTAGTCTTACAGCCAATGACATTACACATGGTGGGTGCTGTTGCTTTCTATCACTAACACAACAAAATTAGATGCCTTGGTGGAAAAGATGTGAAAGAAGCCTACCCAAAATCATAAAATCACCTATATACTTCCCTCATACTGAGATGAGAAAAAGATAGAATTAACTTTTAGAAATGGAGACATATTTATGTACTTTCATTGGTAGCATTTTAATAGTTTGATATGGAATTATTATCAGTGTTCCTAAAGTATACTCAATTTCAAAACTTCACTTGTAAGTATGAATCATCAATTAAATAAATAACAACAATGTACAAGGCTTGGAGGTAATTTCGTCAATGTATCTTACAATAGAGCTGGAAGCAATTGATTTTAGGATAAGTTTATAAAATAAAAAAGTATGAGTTCTGGTTTCCTCAGTTAAAATACCCAATACAATATCTGAATAATGTAAGCACCTAGTAACAATGGATAATAACAACAGGGAGAATAAAATATAAGGAAGAAAAGGACGAAAATACATTTTATTCCTCATTCTTTGTATGAAAAGATATACTGAATTCAACCCTACAAATTTGTTTGTTGAGACAGAGTCTCACACAGCTCAGGCTAGTCTGGAACTTGCTGTGTAGCTGCAGATGACTCTGAACTACTGATCCTCCTGCCTCAACTCTCCCCACTGCTGGGTTACCAGGCCTAGTTCATGCAATGCTGAAGTTCCATGGCTCTGTGTATGCTAAGCAAGTATTCTACCAACAAGCCACACCCCAGCCCTCCACAAGCTTCATATTCAGTATCTACAAAGTTCTTTGTCACTATGAAAACCACTGTAGAAGAACAAAAAGGAGAAAAAGTTAACAGAAAGTTCTCATTCACTAAGGGATAACAGAGCTCTCTTTTTACTTCATATAACTATGAGACCTTAAATATTCAAACTCAAAGTAACTCATTATGTTATATACACGTGTTGAAAGCCAAATTATAGGCCACTTAAGAAAGTCAGCAATTCTATAAGAAAATCAAGGATTATGTAGCAGTATCATTCGCATTACAAAGAAAAACATTTTAATGCAAATTTCCTTGTCTGTTACATTTACTAATACTTTTTGAATATACATACAGCCCCCTCCTATCCAAATCACACTATTAAAAAAATGAATATTGGGCGGTGGTGGCGCACGCCTTTAATCCCAGCACTCGGGAAGTAGAACCAAGCAGATCTCTGTGAGTTCGAGGCCAGCCTGGTCTACAGAGTGAGATCCAGGACAGGCACCAAAACTACACAGAGAAACCCTGTCTCGAAACCACTCCCTCTCAAAAAAATAAAAAAAAGAATATTGGAGCTGGGTAGTAGTGGCACACACCTTTAATTATAGCACTTGGGAGCCAGAGGCAGGTGGATCTTGAGTTTGAGGCAAGCCTGGTCTACAAAATGAGTTCCAGGACAGTCAGGGCTACTCAGAGAAACCCTGTCAAAAATAAGAGAGAGAGAGAATATTGGCCACTGAAAAAAATTACTTAAAAGAACAAGTCATTGATAACAGACCATAACACCAAAAAATTGTTTCTCACTTGACTTATTGTTAGTTAAGTGCTTGGTTTCCCAGAATGACAATTTAATATAGGTAAATAAACTCAAATGTGTTTCTACTCTTTTTTAAAAATTCCTGTGATATTATAAACCTATCTTACATAAAAGAATTCCCTACTCCAAGAAGCTAACAAACTTTATGTAGTAACAACACAGGAAAAACAGAAAGGATTAACAGCTGAGTAAGCAGCATAGACTCTTTTTGAAAGTTTCCTGTAAATACTGAAATTAAATTCCTAATAATCCAAGGTTCTAAACGTCTTACCATTCACAGCTTTTTCAATCAACTCTTCGCAAGCATCAAAGTCGCCCTTCAACACCAGTTTGTCGTGCATGTCTGTCAACATCGGGTGCTCCAGGGCAATCTTGGTTTTCTTCTGCAGAGACTCAAAAGCCTCTGTGTAGTTGTGTTGTCTGAAGTGTTTCAGGCAAAGGCGAATGGCTTCTTGTTCGCGGTACTACTAGAACACAAGAAAAGTAGGGGGAAAAAGAGATCTGCTTAGCTGTCACTGTAGGAAACAATAACAATAAAAACAATTAAATTGAGCATCTACTATTTACCAAGCACCATATTTAATCCCGTTCATTAGTTACCATTATTTTCACCTGTCAAGTAGTAAAACTGGAGCTTAATGCTACTGTACCAATTTGCCCAAGATTATAAGTATGTTACCCAAGGAGATCAAACCAGACACAATTCAAAAGCCTAAACTTCGGGGGGGGGGGGGGGGCAAAAGGCAGCATATTCTGTATTAAAAACCCCTTAAGGCTATAAATTTTGCAATTCTCAGGACATTAACTACTAACATCACAATACAGGTGCTAAGAGAAAGAGAGCATGACTTCTGAAAGTGAGCACTCAATTTACAAACCATTTTCTTTAACAGGGTGAATGTAACAGAAATAAATACAAGCTCAGAAGAATAACTGAAAAGCAAACAAGTTAAAAATACATGCTGGAATTACCTCAAATTTTCTAAGTATATTGCTTTATAATAAAAAGAAAGTAAAATTATATAGAAACACTGCATGACAATTAAAAAAAATGATTTCCCTATAAACATTACCCTGGAATAAGACAGGAAAATAAGACCCCAAAAGACTTGAAAAACAGCCAGTTTATAGTTACCTCACTTCTTAATAAAGGGTTATCAAATCCCTATTGCTTATACAATATAATTATCAATATGCAACCTCATTAAATAACCAGAATGATTCCGTATCCCCACTAATTTTATCCCCCACCTTGGGCCTCAAAAATAGATTTATTATTAATTATCTATATAACATCAATTTTATTAAAGAGCAACATTTGGCTAGCCTGTTGACTTTAGGCATTTCAATCATGTTCAAATATTAACTTTCTATCAGACTGTAAAAGTAACCCTGTAAAAACTGTATTCAAAATATTCATATCACTTTATAGTAAAAGTAAAATTGAGGGCTAAGCAAATAGAATAAAGTAACAGCAAACTGAAGAGCCCTACTGCCTGAGTCCAACATCTGGCTCAAGCACTTTACAACTGTGTGAGCCTCTCTGCTCCATTTCCTTATCTATGAAATAGCAAAGATTGGCAATTTCATCTCCTAAAATGGTAATGATTTAAATGAGTTAGGAGTGCTGAGCAGCTGACCACTACAATGTTTTAAAATGTTAGCTGATTAATCCTTTTACTATTATTCCCAACATTTCATATTGGTCACAATAAAGAAATTGGTACATTTCTCCCTCACTAGGTATCAGAATCTAATTTTAAAGAACAGGCCTACCTTGCTGTACCAGTTCAGACAGGGCTGCACTATATCAGGATCATCAATGCCACTAAGTTCAACATACCAGATGCTAAAATTAAAGCTGGGCCCCCAGGACAAAAGTGGAACTTTAAGGAGGAAAAGCAAAAAGAGGGAAAAAATTAATATATTTCAAATAAGTTTCAGCAAAGTAAAACTACTAATGTTTAAGTCTATATGGATTTACTCATCAAAATTTCTGCACACATGCCACACACCTGCACTTTCAGTCCTCAGGAGGCTATGGCAGGAGGAACAAGAGTTCCGACATAGTGAAACTCTGTCTCAAAACAGCAACAACAAAAACCATGCATCATAGAAACAAATGAGTGTTCAACTTTTAAAAGACGGCTCGTGATACTAAAAAACAAATCTGACTGAAACCATCATGATATTTTTTAGTAAAAACTGTGATATAACTTCAAAGTCATCATAAATAAAATCCAAAATAGATAATGTAACAGAGGTTACTGATCCTACACACAGCTGATAATAATATTGTATCCAAGTATAGAGTAAAACTTCAATTATTTATCAATATATAATCCTGAAAACAAAGCCAAAGAAAAAATACCCAATCTCAACTATGAAAGAAGTCAATCTCAACTGAGGACGTACCCAAATAATAGGGGAAAGATGCAATAACAATTAAAAAAACTCATAAGTTTTCTTTATTAAAAAAAAAGACTTCTTTCAAGGAGTACAAGATGATTCAATAAAAAGGTATAGTGATGCAATTTACCACCCAAACAAAGCTAAAAGGAAAAAAATGTGCTCAATTACTTAAAAAAAAAATCATCTTAAGCCTTCATCATTAAACCTGAGCAAATATGAAGTACTCTTATTCAAGTCAGAATGAGACAAAGAAGCCAATTTCTCTACTAATCGATATCACACTAGGTGTCTTAACCAGTACAATGGGGGATGGTTGGGGAGCTGGAGAGATGGCTCGGCAGACAGTTAAGAGCACTTGCTGCTCCTCCAGAGGACCCGGGTTTAGTTCCCAGCTCCAACACAGCAGCTCACAAACATCCTTAATTCCAGTTCCAGGGGATCCAATGCCCTCTTCTGCGCTCCTCATGCACTAGGCACATAATACATGGTGCACATACATACATGAAGGCAAAACATATGCATAAAGTAAAAAAAAAATCTAATTAAAAAAAAGATTATAGTAAGAAAACATCTGGTTACTTGAAGATGACATGGCTGCCTATCTGCAATTTTAAGACTTGACTGGCTATCCAATATTTCTTTTCAACTACTAGGTACACAGAAGAAATTGAACTACAATACAAGTGCTTAAACAGCTTTAATAAAGCAAGGCTTTGTTGTGACTTGAATAAATACAAAACTTCCTACCACAGTCCTGAGGGTCTCAACGATTGCTTTTGTGTCTACTCTTTAACATTATTATTACAAAAAAAAATTCTCAAAAATCAAAATGTGGGATTCTGGAATTAATTATTGTTCTTCAATAACAAATACGACTTCTTTGGTTCCAATTCTAATATAATAGTGCTAAAGGTATGAGGCAGAGATAGAAATCCAAAGGCTCAGACCTTCACATCCCTGCCCTCTAAATACTAAATCTAAAGGAACACAGAAGACCCTAAAAAGCCTAGCCTGAAGAATGTATTGTAAGCACTTTCATAAGCTAAAACACTTGCTGATAAATATATGCCTTAAAGACAGTATTGTGAACTGTGGTTTGCATATCATTGCTGAATCATGAGATTGACAAGTTTAACCAGCATTTCACGTAAAAGGTGAAATATACAAGAACAAAAGCCAATGACCACATTACAGTGTCTTGAAAAACTCATCAGTGTTTGGTTTTAGCTGATAGTTCTAGAATAAATAAATGACAAACCTCCATGAATAATTAAGGCAATCAGATCTCTACATCCCATAAAATCTTGTAAGAACCCTTTCAAAAGAGAACACACTTGGAAAAATATCCTTACTAAATAGCTGTCACTTACTAATGGATTCATAAAGCAACGGTCAGCCAACATTTCTGTAAAGGGCCAACAGAAATCTTTTCAGCTTGATGGGCTATGTGATCTCTTTAAACCATTCCCCTCTGACTTTGGGGCACAAAAGCAGTCAAAGTCAGTGTACAAACTAACCAGTGCAGCAACGCCCCTATTAAAAAAAACCCTAAAACACAGGAACCTAGAGAACCTGGTCCATACACTAGAGTCTATGAACGAAAGACATTAAAAAATTGTTTTTAATTCAAAAACACTAAAACCTTACCAATTTTAATGAATCGACAAGGGAACATCTGTTCATCAATTTTATGTTTCAAGGTAAATGTCTCTTTGTTATAATCATTCTTCAAGCCACTGTTGGGGGTAGGGGAAGAAAAAAAACTTCATATTATCAAACATGATTTCATAATTTAGTAAACACATTAAGACACTCTAATCTTATACTCAGATGTTAAGCTTTAAGCCAATGATAATACTGTATATTCAAGACAATATAAACAAATAACTGAACACGAAAACGTAAGTCAAAATACGCACATCCAAATCAATTGCAATACTGCTGTGTTTTTTAAAACTACACAAAAGCTAATGAAGAATGTTATATATTAACTAGAGAATGTGGCTAGCTGTATGGAAATGTGTGACTATCTTTAATGTATAATTTAATATGAAAGATTTTCAGGTAGTAGGAAAGGAATTAAAAACAATTCAGTCTTATCTAACAAGTTCGACAAAGCCAAATATTAGAATTTGTCAAAGAATTACATTTCTTAACTATCTTTTTATCATTCATGCTGTGGGATGTCTTTCTGTATGCTGTGAATATGTGTGGTTCCCACTGGATAATAAGTAAATCTGTTTTGGCCCATGGCATGAAAGCTTACAGCCAGGTGGGAAATCCAAACAGAGATATAGAAGAAGGATGGAGTCAGGAGAGACACCAGGTGCTGCAGAAGGAGCAACAAGATGCCAGCAGACCAGTAATGTCATGGCCATGTGACAATATATAGATTAATAGGAATGGTTTAATTTAAGATGAGAGAGTTAGTCAGAAGCTGAAGCCATAGGCCATACAGTCTGTAATTAATATAAGCCTCTGAGTGATTATTTTATATGCGGCTGTGGGGCAGCAGGACTGGACAGGACACAGGAAAACTTCTGGCTACACATTTACAAATTTTCAAAACCAATGTTGGTCTGCTGATTTAATAGCATCTCCTTTAACCTAAATAAACAGTAACCCATATCACCTCTCGTTTAACCAAGATTGATACAAGTATTTATAGGAAAACCCCTTACCATCCAACTACCTTACTCCCTAAAATACTTCTAGGACTTAAATCAGAGCACATAACTAGTATTTACTTCAGTGTTTTCTTAACAGGATAACCATGTCACAAATACATTCTAAATCTTTTTTCTTTCTACTGGCTATATGACTTTTCATCATGCTGGGATTTAACTGTTTTAGAACTCCAATTTACTAAGCTCTTTCCAAAAGGCAAACACTGTGTGCTATATGCTGTCACATTTTGTTTTGTTTTCATTTACTGAACCTTCTCCTTTTCATCTCTAACAGTAAAATCTTAGAATACCATTTTGGACTAGACAATTCACATTTTGAGTAAGGTTTATGTTTTCCAATAGCATGGTTTTTGCCCTCCCACCACAAATGGGTGGTTTGCTCTGGAAGTGTTAGGGACTGAACCCAGAGATTTTCATTAGAAAGTTACTGAGAGATCAAAATTATGAGTAGGGAAAAAAGAAACAAACATTTGATTCTTTCTTCATTATTTAACAATTTTAACTAGTACCTGGTAGTTTAAAAAAAAAAAACCAACTTAAGATACAGTGTTAACAAAAACACTAGGAATAAAACCAGAGATGTGTTCTTTCTTTACTTTCTAGGAAAGGGCACACAGATTCACCTACGAAGAAAATAGACTAAGCCTACGGGATGCTCCAAAGACAGCCCTTCCATCCCCACAAGCAAACCTACCTAGACAACAGCTCTGTCATATTTTCTTCATTCATTCCACCAAAGACTTTGAATTTCTTCAAATTGCAGACATGGGTTTTCTCATATTTTCCAAATGTAATATTCTGAACTATAGCAGGCCTTTCAAGCTTCAGAATCAAGTACTGGGGGAAAAAGAAAGAAGAAACAACAAAACTATACCCTCTGCTTAAAACATAAAACAAACTTTAGATATTGTAAGTTTTGACAGTTAACAGACTCATAAGTTCCATCTTAGGATGGAAGGCTGGAAGATGTTTTTATTTTGTTTTATTTTGTCTTAAAGCTAAGGAATAATTATACAACACCCCTACAATGACTGTTACCATTCTTTACTCAACTGAGGTCACCAACTACATTCTTCTGAATGGTGAAACAGACTGAAAGAAGCCTAAGCAATGTAAATTCTAATCAGTGAATGATACTAAAGACATAACCGGACTAGAAACAACCAAAGAAGCAAGATTAAAATGCAAAAATAGCAACCGCCCACTTCCATGGAATGAAGTTGACAGATCAAAATCTCATTTTATATATACGATATACATGTATCTTATTATACACTCAAAATTAATCAAAACTTACCAGAATTCGTTTCTTAGAATAAAATATTTAGATGTAATTTAGAGTAAAACTTGGACGCGCTCCACAAAAGGCACACGAGTAAATCTTTAGGGTATTAACTTTGACTGGGGATTCTCAGGTATAACATCAAGAGTGCATATCATCAAGTTTCACATCAGATACCCAGTTTCCTCAACATCAGTTGTTAAAGAGGCTACCTTTTCTACAATCACTACTTTTAGCATATGTCAAAACCCAGGTGGCTGTAGCTGCAGGGACTTATATCCAGATGTTCTATTCTGTTCCACCAATCTGTATTTCTGACTGTGCCAGTACTGGGCTTAGTTTTGGATCTGTAACACACCTTGAAATCAGGTATGGTGATACCTCTGCTTACTTGATTACTTTCTTTCCTTCTTTACTGGGGGTGGGGAGGACAGGATTGATTTGGGTATCTGAAGACTTTTGTGTTTCCAAATAAATTTTAAGATTGCTTTTTATATTTCCATCAAGTATGGTGTTGGCCTCTTGAATGGGATTCCATTCAATCTTGTAGACTAGCTTTGTTAAGATAGCCATTTCCACAATTCTTCCAGTCCATGAGCATAGGGGTCTTTTCACCTTCTAGTGTCTTTTTCAATTTCTCTCTTGAATTCTGAAACTTTTCCACGTCTTTCCCATCCTTGGTTAGATTAAGTTTAAGACCATGGTGCGGACTGTGAACAGGACTGTTTCTTTCATTCTTTTCTCATCGTGTTACTGGTACAAAAGAAGACTACTCACTGTGTAGCCTGCCACTTTGCTCAAAGTGTTTGTCAGCACTCAAGAGTTTTCTAGTCCAGTCTGTAGGATCTTATGTATAGAATCTGATCATCTTCAAAACTTGCCTATTCGTATGCCTTTTGTTTCTCCTGTCTTACCCTCTAGCTAAGAATCCCAGTACTATATTGACTAAGCAGTGAAAATGGACACCCTTATCTTGTTCTTTAATTTTAGTGGAAATGTTTTGAGTTCTGCCCCATTTAGTATAAAGTTGGCTATAGGTCTGTTGTACACAGTCTTCAAACACTGAGATGTGTTCTTTCTATTCCCAGTTTCTCTGGGGTTTTTAAAAAACATTTATGGGTGTTTTGCCTGCATGCATATGGGTGCACTAAAGTGTGCCTGGTGTCAGTGAAAGCCAGAAGAGGGTGATGGACCCCCTAGAACTGGAATTACAGAAGGCTGTGAATTGCCACATGCATGCTGGGAATTGAGCCCAGATCCTCTGTAAGTGCAGCTAATGCTCTTAACTGTTGAGCTATCTATCTATCCAGCTCCCACTTCAGGATTTTGATCATGAAAAGATGAGATGATCGTGTGATTTTTGTCACTGAGTCCATTCATATAACATATTACATACATTGATTTCTGTATGTTGAACCCTCCCAGCATTGCTGGACTAAAGTCAACCTGATTATCATGATGATCTTTGTTATGTGCACCTATACTCAGTTTGTGAGTACTTTGCTGAGAAATTTTTAAGTTATATGCATTAGGGAGACTGATCAAATTGCATGTGTTTATATGATTTTGATATCAGAGTAATAATGCCTTTAATAAAGAGTTTAGTAGTGTTTATTCATTTCCTACTTTATGAAAGAGTTTCATAAGAATTACTTTCAGTTCTTTGGAGGTCTGGTAAAAACTCACCAGTGAATCCAACTGGGACTGTACTTTTCTAGTCAGGTTTTTTTTTTTTTTTTTTATTACTACTTTAATCTCACTGCTTGTTACAAAAGTGTTTAAATTATTTCATCATAGTTCAATTTTGGTAGGTTATATGAACCCAGAAATGCATCATTCTTTTTAGATTTTCCAATTTAGTAGAAAACACACACACACACACACACACACACACACACACACGTTGGTTCTGAAATGGGATCTCACTATGTAGACCAGGCTGGTCTTGGACTTAGAGATCTGCCTGCCTCTGCCTCCCACTGAGTGCTGAGTTAAAGGCATATGTTATAACACCCAGCGAGCATATATTTTTAAAGTATTCCTTTCCATTCTCCAATTTTATTAATTTGGGATATCTTTTCTGGTCATTTTGTCTGAGTTTAGATCTTGTTTATCCTTTCAAAAATCAACTCTCTGTTTCAGTAATTTTTTTGTACCATTTTTTGTTTTTTGTTTCTCATTAGTTTCTTCCCTAAACTTTGTTTGTTTGTTTATTTGTTTGGAGACAGGGTTTCTCTATGTAGCTTTGGAGCCTGTCTTGGAACTCACTCTGTAGACCAGGCTGGTCTCAAACTCACAGAAATCCACCTGCTTCTGTCTCCCGAGTGCTGGGATTAAAGGTGTGCACCATCTACGCCTGGCATTTGCCTTTTTATTTATTTATTTTTGTGTGTACGGGAAGGTAGTATATAGAAGCTAAAAAAAAAAAAAAGGTGTCAGGTGACCTCCTCTATCGTTTTCCACCTTATTGTTTTGAGGCAAGGTCACAATTAATATGCACATAGTACCATAAGTGAGTGCAGAGATCTAAACTCAGGGCTTCAAGCTTGCACAACAAGTGCTCTTATCTCCTGAGCCATGTATGTGTCCATGTTCTTTTGTTGTTGTTGTTTTGAGAGACAGGGTTTCTCTGTGTAGCTTTGCACCTTTCCTGGAACTCACTCTGTAGTCCAGGCTGGCCTCAAACTCTGCCTCCCCAGTGCTAGGACTAAAGGCGTGCACCACCACCGCCCGGCTGTGTCCATGTTCTTAAGCATTTCTTTTTATCTACTGATTTTGGGGTGTACTGGGTGGTTTTGCATGTCAACTTGACACAAGCTAGATAGATTTGTTAGAGAGGAAAGAGCTTAGTTGAGGAAATGCCTTGATGAGATCCAGCTAAGACATTTTCTCAATTAGTGATCAATGCGGGAGGACCCAGCCCATGGTGGGTGGTGTCATCCCTGGGCAGGTGGTCCTGGGTTCTATAGAAAGTGGACTGAGCAAGCCAGGGGAAGTAAACCAGTAAGCAGCACCCCTCCATGGCCTCTGCATCAGCTCCTGCCTCCAGGTTCCTGCCCTGCTTGAGTTCTTGTCCTGACTTCCTCCAATGATAATGATAATGATAATAAACCCTTTCCTCCCCAACTTGCCTTTTGGTCAAGGTGTTTTGTAGCAGCAATAGAAACCCTGACTAAGACAGGGGAGTTAGTTTGTTTTTATTTTTCTACAACCCCAAGATGTAGCATTAAATTAGGAGGTCTTTCTGATTTCTTAATGTAGGCACTAAGAGTTCCAATCTTCTTTCTTAGGACGACTTTCATTCTATCCCATCGACTTTGGTACATTGTGTTTCATTTTCTTTTGATTTTGAAACTGTTTTTATTTCTTTTTGGTAATGTGTTGTTAGACCTCCATATGTTTGTATATGTTTACAGTCATTCTAACTGTTGTTCTGTAGTTTTATTCACTGTCATCAGATAGAATACAAGGACTTATTTCTATTTTCCCATAATTGTTCAGATTTCTTCTATGTCCTAATAGAAACTTTTAGACAAAGTTCCATGGGCTGCTGAGAAGAATGTACAATTCTGCAGTTTTAGAGAATGTTCTGTAGATATGTTAAGTTCTTTTGATCTATGATGTCATAATCCAGATGCTTTAGTTTACTTTTTGACATGAACTCAAAATTGATAGAGTGGCTGGGCAGTGGTGGTGTACACTTTTAATCCCAGCAGTCAGGAGGCAGAGGCAGGCAGGCAGATCTCTGTGAGTTCAAGGCCAGCCTGGTCTACAAAGCCAGAGCTCACAGAGAAACTCTGTCTCGAAAAACCACAAAAAAAAGTTGATAGTGGAAGGTAATGAATCACCCACTACTACTGTGTTTGGGTCAAGCTGTGTCTTCGTACCTAGCAAAGTGTGATTTATGAAACTGAGTGCACCCATGCTCAGTGCATATGTCTAAATGTTTAAACTGTAATGTCTTCTTGTTGGATAGATCTCCAACAATAGAAAAATTTGCAGGTTTTCTCGTTTTTTTATTAGTTCTTTGAGAATTTTGTACAATGTATTTTTATCATAGTCACATACTTCTGCTTTTCCTAGACCCATTCTTACCTACCCAACTCGTATCTTCTTTTTAAAAACTCATCCAATACAACATGCTGCGTATATACTCTAGGATGTGTGGCCTTTACTACAGGATGGTTCACCTACCAGGGGCCACACCCTTAAAGAAAAATGACTGTTCCTCTCCCAGCAGCTCTCAACTGCCAATAGCTCCTTGGTTACAAGTGGGACTCCATGCCCACCTCCATCCCCATGTGGTGACTGTCTGGCCAGAGCCGAACAGGTCTTCTGAAATCTGTTACAACGGCTGTGAGCTCGCTCCTATGTGCACCCTCCCTGCTGTGCCCAGAAACTCTGCTTCCTTTCAGTTACCCACTGCCTCTGGCTCTTAAAATCTTTCTGTCCCCTATTCCCAAATGATTCCTGAGCCTTGAGAGAAGGGGTGTTCTACAAATATTCCATTCAGGGCTGAACATTTTTCAATCTCTTACTCTCTGCACCTTGACCA